AACTCCTGGGCTCAAGCGAGTCTCCTGCCTCCGCCTCCCAAGTAGCTGGGACCACAGGCGCCCACCACAACGCCTGGCTGTTTTTTGGTTGCAGCCGTCGTTGTTTTGGCGGGTCCGGGCTGGGGGTTCGAACCTGCCACCTTAGGTGTATGTGGCTGGCGCCTTAGCCGGTTGAGCTATAGGCGCCGAGCCTCCAGAGGGTTTCTTAAGAGAGTTCCTATTCTACCCATAGCTTTTTAGCCCTCCCTTTATTTCTGTCCCTCAGAGGGACTGTCTTTCCATAGTCTTGCCCTCTCTTGTTGCTTTTCACTGGTGCTTTTTGTTTGGAGGAGGACAGGTTGGAAGGGCATTTTCTGCACCCTGATCAAGCCTTAGTCTCAGGCAGTCCTTGAGGCCCAGGGCTTTCTCAGGGTGCTGTTCTTCCCACAGGGGTAGAGGATTTTTTTACTTTGACCTTTCTGTCAACCCAAATAGGTCCTCACCTGTATGCTGGGAGAGACAGGGTTTCCTACTCCTAGTTGCTTCAGGGTTTTATTCTGTAGACAGAAAGGATCTGGGCTGGACTTCTTGCTTTTTTTGCCATGTTAGTGGGTCCCCTCCTCCAGGCCTGTGTCACTGCGGGAGGCTCTTTTCAGCCTCCTACTCTGTACCCTATCTCTGTCAGGAACACAGTGACTGGAGATGTATTGAGAAGAACCTGTAAAGGGTGCAAACATCTTTGTGACTGGGGCTTTTACCCTTATGGTGGCCCACTTTTGGCTTTTAACAGTTTATTAAAAATTTTAGCTGAGAGCCAGGCATGGTGGCGTGTGCCTGTAGTCACAGCTGCTTGGTAGACTGTGGTGGGAGGATTACCTGATAAGCCCTGGAGTTCAAATCTAGTCTGGGCAATATAGTGATACCCTGTCTTTAATAATATAAAATAAAAATAAAAATAAATTAGTTGAATTTTTCTTACCCATTTATATAATACAGAGTGCCCATCTCCCTGTGCTCTGTCACAGGTGAGCAAGTGCTCATGTCCAGGCGCTGCTTTGAGGGGCCTCTCTTTCCTTAGCTTTTCCTATTGCACTATCACCCCACATCTCTGATAACTTTAAGAAAAGTCATGATATTTGTGGTTTATCTGGCTTTTACTTTCTTTTTTTTTTTTTTGAGACGGAGCCTCAAGCTATCCCCCTGGGTAGAGTGCCATGGCATCACAGCTCACAGCAACCTCCAACTCCTGGGCTCAAGCGAGTCTCCTGCCTCAGCCTCCCAAGTAGCTGGGACTACAGGGTCCACCACAACGCCTGGCCATTTTTTTTTTTTGGTTGCAGCCATCATTGTTGTCTGGCGGGCCCGGGCTGGGGATTCGAACCCGCCACCTTAGGTGTATGTGGCTGGTGCCTTAGCCGCTTGAGCCACAGGCACCGAGCCTGTAATTGGTGTCTTAAGTGAGCGTATCAGGGTGGAAGGAGACAAAGGTCAGCGAGGAGCAGCACGCTGCTGGTGCCTCACGCAGACTGAGGCTTGTATTCTCATTTCTTCAAACTCAGCGCCCTTGTTGCCCATCCACTTACATCTGGTTGCCCAGGTTCGTGTCAATTCTGTATGACTCATATGCTTCCCCTAAATTTATTTTTACTTAAGTTTACATACTAGTTTCTGTTACTTACCACCATGGACATCTGACTGATAAGGAAAACAGGGCTCTTATCTCAGGAAACTTGAAGATTAGAAGGAAAAACCCAATACCTGAAAAACAAACAAAATGCCAGATGCAAAGCAAAATAGCACAGCCAGCATTTTTCAGGGCAGGGGCCAGCGGACTTGTTCATAAAGAAGCAGATAGTAAATATTTGGTCTTTCGTCACTACCCAGTTCTGCCACTGTAACACAAAAGCAGCTGTGGGTGATCTGTAAACTATTGAGAGAAGCTGTTCCAATAAGACCATGTACAAATGCAGGCTGACATAGTGTGCCAACCCATGGTATCGGCTTATCGTGTGTATTTAAAAGAAAGATGGAGAGAGTCTGCGTATTTACCAAGTTTTAAGCTCCTTACACCTGAGCATTGACTGACTATGCCATAATTCTTTCTGCCCATTCTTTTCTTGCAGAAGCAAAACCTGCCCCAGAAATATTTGAAAATGAAGTCATGGCATTGCTAAGAGACTTTGCTAAAAACAAAAACAAAGAGCAGAGACTGCGTGCCCCAGATCTCGAATACCTTTTTGAAAAGTCACGTTGAGCTGCACCACTACCTGCCATGGGGGTTCAATCTGTGGACAGTAACTGCTTATGATGGACACTCGCATTGGCTTCCTGCTTCTCTTTAGACTCAGGTCCTCCCTGCCCCAGACCATTGGTCCTGCCTCAAGTGATGGACATACTTCTCTTTCAGGGCATACATGTAAAGTGTGGTGTGACTCACTCTCCTAGTTTTTTGTTCAGTGGTTTGCAGACCTGACTGCTTTGTCTGGCTGCTAGCCGTGAAGGCAGGTTACCGCAAGAGGGCACTATACGGGAAGCAATTATGCTTGCTCATTGAGCTTATTGCACTCAATGCTTCAGCCCCAAGTGTGTTCAAAGAAAAGAGGCAGCCAGCTGTGTGTGCTATATGGAAGGCTGCTTTTCCTCCCCCTCATTGCCCCACCTCCAGTGGCCCAAGGCTTTGTTACAATGAAACTTCCCCCTTCCACCCTAGTATGGTTCTTTCCACCAAGGGAAGCTGATCCCAGCCCCCTGGGCTACATCCTTCAAAGGCACAGCAGGCAGAATGAGGGCGCAGGTGGGAGTGGTGTGGGCATGCTGCTACAAGTCAACATCTTCATCGTTAGGTTTTCTTTGAAATGTGCACTTTGTAAATTGAAAGATAATTAAATATTAAAGAATACCGAAGAAAAGAAATTTACAATTCCCTGTCCTTCACAATTACTTTAGTTTTGTCTGTTCTCATATAATCCATAGTCCTGTGTTTTTAGGGTTTTACAAGGCTGCAATCATAGGTTTTATTTCTGTGTAGCACTGTAGCAAGCTTTCCCCCTCATTTTGACAGTCCTTGCAATTATTTTAATTGACTAAATATTAATACATAAGAAATAGTATGTTAGAATGAATTAGATGCAAGTGTTTAGCTCTAGGGCTGAGAGAGTTCTACGACGGCCAGCCAGAATTGACAAGCAGGTGATTGGTGATGGCAGGAGCTGTACCCAGGAGGGAGAACACGAGTCCAGAGTTTCCACAGAGCCTTCTGATGGTTCCCACGTGCCCTTCAGCATCCCTAGCTAAACAGGGAAGGGAAGAGAATGTTATGTAATCACAGTGAAGCCTCATAGGTAAAGCCTGTAGCTCTCCTATAGACAAGTGGTGTTATGGCTATTTTATAGATAAGAAAGTGGGCTCAGAGAGAGTAATTTGTCTAAGATCAAGTAGCTATTCAAGTATCTTGCTAGTCAAAACCCCAGAATTTGGTATAGCTCAATCGACTTCCAAAGCTCCTGAGCTTTCTATTAGAACACAGTACTGCTGGAAATTTAGTAGAAATCTGTGCTTGGAAAAGTTATGGCAAAGAAACTTGACAGCACTAAGATAAGATCTCTGCATCAGGTAGTGAGTAGGAGTCTGCAAGGTACATCTGACCCAAAGTCACAGCCAAGATCGGAATCTGGCCAACCAGTGAGGCTCTTGTGTGGAAGTAGTGCAGTGCACTGATTATGAGTTCAGGTCATGTCTCCATTGTTTACCTGTTGGATAAAAAAAAGACTTGGGCCTTGGTTTCCTCGTATATAAATGGGGATGATAGTGTTCCCTATCTAAACTAGGTGGTAAGATGAGGTGAGATAAAACACACAAAGCCCTTACATGGTACCACCACACAGTGCACACTCAGTAGCTATGAGTGTCAGCATTGGGTCATGGCCTCAGCCTGAGATTTAAAACCTGCCCCTAACAGTTTGCCTGGCATGTCAGTGAGGTCAACATAGCGATATGCAGGTTAGAAAGCTGAGCCTATTAAAGTAACCATGGAGTGTCTTACTGGATGGTGAAGACTAGAGAGAAAACAGACCCTGGTGATGAGACCTTTGATGGAAAAATCTAGCACTCTCCTCTGAGCAGGGAATGGGATTGAGACTTGGGAGGCAGCAGCGGGGCAGACGTCACTCTGGGAGCTTACTGAAACTGCTGGCGGTTCTTTTGGGCTGCGTTTGATGTGCTGTGGGGAGAATGTTAAACAGGCAAGGGAGTTTATATATAGAAATATATCTGGACTGTAAGAAGTGCACACGAATCGGGCAATGACTTACCCATTTATCCTGTGCACGTTATGCAACAAACCCCAGTAGCCAAGTATGCAGTTAGGACTATATCCCTGCCTGGGGTTTGATCCCTTCTTACCCTGATTTTGTCTTATTTAACATTTAACTGCTGCCACTTTTCACCTGGAATGGCATGCTTTTAAAGGAATTGTTTTCCTCCCAGACTGCTGGCTTATGTCATCTTTGAAAGGGAAGGATCTTGCTAACTTCACCTGCTCAATGTCAGGCGCAGGGGTGCTGTGTAAACAGTTTTTCCCTTTATTAGGCATCAAGTAAAACTAGGCTGGCCACAGTGCATTTTTTAAAAATTAATAAACATATAGCAAGGGCCAGCAACCCCCCAAGGATCCACGATGAACAGAATTTAGATTCATTCCTTTCCCTTTGACACATCACTCCTCACTGACCTCATTCAGAGCCTGCATGGGGCAGATGAGCGTCTGGCCCTTCCCTGACCGATCCGAAGTGGTCTTGTGAGTCCTCTTGCACAGGCTCCCGTGTGACACATCAAATTGGGTCAGGAAATGCTGTTCTTCTGTCATTTCCTCTCTTAAACATTTTAAGTCTTAAAAATCCATAAGCCAAATACCTTGTGCCCAAACTGTGCCTTAGAGTATATCTTTAGGGATCACTGTAGAGGTACCTCTTACTGGCTTTGAGCATTGTCTAGAGGTCATCTGGTCTGTCTCATCGGCTCCAGCCATGGTGGCACCAGCACAAACTTGGTTCATACTTTTAAACATCACTGGGGAAAGAGATTCCACAGGGATAGTTGAGAGTCTGACGTTCATCCTTCAGTCCATTTGCTGCTTTTGTGGCTAGACAGAGAAGCTAGACAACAGGTAAGCTCGAGTAGCCTTAAATGGCAGGCGGGTCTGTGGGACGTTGGAGCTGACAGTCCCCCTTATTAGTACATCCTATGGTATCTAAGAACAGTGGACTCACTGTCCTGTGACTGTCAAGTCGATGATACTGATCAGCACCTACTTAAGCCGCTTTTTGACACCTCAGTGTCTCAGTAAGCCCTCCAGGAATGAGGAACATTGTTCAAATCTGCCCCAGTCAGGTAAAACAGCACAGGTGGGATAGGTGACTTGAGGCAAACAGTACTCTTGGTGGCTTTAAGAGACCAATACCTGTTAGTCTGTTAGGAGGCTGTGGAAAAGTTAAACCTATCCAGCACAATAACATCAGTCTTTAAAGGAGGTGCATAGACTTATAACCTATAAACACAAGAGAAAAGTTAAAGTCTTTTACTATGTCCCAGATCTCACCTAACTCCAGAGGTTCCTTCCAAAGAAGTGAATGTTCTCTCAAAGCAGTGGTTCTCAACCTTCCTAATGCCACAACCCTTTAATTCAGTTCCTCATGTTGTGG